TAATGTAACATCAGAGCCTCGTAAGACCATACAATTGTATTACATAAGCATGGACTACCGACTCAAGACGACAATGACGTATGTAAAGTTTGATCAAACTCAAACGGTTCACATCTGATGTTGCTTTAAATTTAATGTAAATCAAAATAGGTTCAAATCTGACATTGATTTAAATTCGATGTAAATTGTGCAATGAAAACTTAAATTTGTCTATAAAAATTATTTATTAATTAATTATTTATATAAATTCATTCCTTAATATTAAAATTAATAATTAAATTTAAATTCGAAATTTCCACATTTCCGTTTACAACGGCCAACGTCAGCATCATTTTTCCCCAATTCAAATTAGTGTTGGCAACCACCCTTCCATTGCGTGTTAAAAACTTGCACACTACTAATCAGTTACCGGTTATTCATTAGCCATACTGTCATAATAAACATTTGCCGTAAAACGATCTACATAGCCCTAATAAACATCGGACATCGAAGAAAGTGCAAAGCAGATTGAATAAAAGTGCATATTTTTAACAAATTTAAGACAATTTACATAAATAAATGATAAAAATTCAATTCAAAACTGTTCAAACGTATATATTTTATAAAAATTTATTAAAAAATTATTGAAAAAGTATTCAAAACTCCAAATTATGCAAGTTTTTGTGGCGCTTTGATTAAACGGGGCAATGAACATCAAAAGAAAAACAAATAAAACTGTACTTGGTGGATGTGGTGGTGGTTGCTGCTGCCGTTGTTGTGCAGCAGTAGTGAGCAAGAACCAACAAATAAACGAAGGAGCAAGCGGACGTCAGAGCACCGCTCTTGTGCAATAAAGAGATAAAAAGACACAAACAGAAGAAAAAAACACGAAATCAGGACGCAATACATGTTCTCGTGAATGAACAAAGCGATAAATAATAATGTGAATGCAGTGCAGTGATCGTTTAAAGTTTCCCCTTTTCTTTGACCGAATGAAGGCATTGTAATTTTCGTGTGTCATAAGAAGAAAAAGAAGCAAGAGCCACAGAGTTACAAAACACTTTTTCGTTGAGCTTATAAATTCCCTTGAAGGAGGAGGTATGGCTCCCCAACAACAACCGCCACCTCACAATAACAGTGCCACCGCAGCAGCAACTGCTGTTGTGTCAGCAACGGCAGCGGTCACTGCAAATGTGACCGCCGAACCAAAACATTCCAACCAACCCTTTTACATATCAGCCCACACTTTGTGTCATAACAAACGCTTGAAGCAAAAACGTTCCAAATATGTGGAAATCTTTCGCAAAGCCCTAAAGCAAGCCGACAGGGTCAACCAATCTTCTGCGGCCCGCAATAGAAATAAGACTGATAAACGTCGTGAAAAGCTTAACTCGTTAAGAGCTGATGTTACCATTGACTTGCTGTCCGATGATGATGGGGTGCAGCAGGAGCCAGAAAGGCAGCATCAGCCCTCAACAATGCATGAAAATGTTTTTGTCGGTAAAATGTGCTTGGAAAGGGCAGCCATACTGGGCCTGATGCCAGTTGTGCGTATGACAAATGGACCAACAACAACGCCCCAAACTGAACCGCCACCCTTAGCACCGTTGAGTAAACAAAAGCAAACCGTAAATCTACAACAGCAACACCACCACCAACATAAGCCGAATCAAAGAAGATCATTGCAAATTCCACCACCACCAACGCCGCAACAATTATTAGCATCACAACAACAACACCAACTTTCACAGCTGCAGCAACAATATCTACGAAAACAACAACAGCAGCAGCTGCAGCAACAGCCGCCACCACGTAAACGTAAATCACGACCCCAGCGTCGCTCTTTACCAGTTGTACTCAATAATGAAAGTATTGTCCTTAGTGATGATAGTGATAGCGAACAAAGAACGATTATCGATTTGCAAAAACAACAACAACAATTTCTTAATCTACATTCGGATTTAGCTGTAATAATTCCTACCAACCAATCATCACCTTGTCAGCAAGCTTTCCCGGCTAATGTTGCAACAACAACAATTCCTGCCTCCTTACCTGCATCTACATCATTAGTATTACCAAATTCCATGCAAGTTGATGAAGATGTTACAATATCACTGGTACCACGTTCTCTTAATGCCACAACTTGTGCTCGTGCCACAAAGTCCTTAGTGTGCTCGATTAATAATAGTCCTATTAGTAGTATACAGTCATTGCCACAAGATCAACCAAAACAACAACAACAGCAACCACCACCACCATTTCCCATGCTACCGGATGAAACCACTGTGCATACAGTTATAGCAAATCGCATCTATGAATTATCGCTGACAAAATTACGTGAAGGCTTGGCATCCTGTGGCATACCCGAATTCAATGATGGCCAACAGAAAATCTCACCCACACGACGAAAAGGTATGGTGCAACCGCCACCCATTGTAACCCAGCCACAGGCTCCCATCTCATTGAAATTATCCAGTGATTTGAGTATATCATTGATCTCAGATGATGATGAAGACGATGGACAGCATCATCACAACAGCTACAACAACAATGAAGCATTACTCAGTCCCGCCTTTTTACAAAAGTTACCTGTTAATGTTTCGATAGCACCTGTCGTAACGATAACGCCACATGTAAATGGTGGATCACCATCGATGGTGGGTGGTGGTGGGCAAGCGGCTTTAGTGGATCCGAGAAAACTTAAATTTGGCTAAATTAGAAATATAATTTTTCAAAATTTCAAAAAAAAATATCTAAACAATATTTTGACACACTCGTGGGTTTAGGCCGCTGGAATAGGCTACAAATGGAAATAGAATTGAAGATACAGTCGAATTATCTTTGAGTCGGGACACAGTAGCACTAATTAATTCCATAACTGGAAGTCCCCATAAGTCGATTTTTTTGGATGTAATGGATGGAAGTTCGACTGCAACAATTTTACCAAAAAGACAGTAGCCAATATTGTAAAATTTTAAACTAAGCTTTTAAAACAAATTCAAAGCTTCTTAAGAAATTTGTATCTATTATTTATTATCATTTCACTTTTTTTAAAAAATCCCTCCATAACATTCCTATCTTAAAGAAGTTATACATATAGTTACAATTGGAATATTGTTTTCAAATTTCTATCAACATTTTTGCAAAAAAAAAAAAAAAAAAAAAAAAAAAAAGAAATTTAATTAAATAACAAATTATCAGAAGATAAAGATCAAAATTTATTTGCAAATTTGTTAAAAATGATTTTATAAAAAAGACGACACGAAAATAAATTCTGTGATTTTCCAAAAGAAAAATGTACATTTTCAAAACCTATGAAAATTAAAAAAAAAAAAAAAAACAAAAGAAAAAGAAAAACATTTACAAAATTTGCAACAAAATTCGAAGTCATGTTTTGTTTTTTAGAATCATATCGATTCTCTTTCCTTTCTCCACACAATCATGTTGTTAGTTCAATTTAATGTATATAAAAGTAGATTTACTCTCATATTTTTTATAAAACTGTATTAAGCTATTTTACAACACACTATGTATTTTTGGTTTATATATCTAATATTTTATATATAATAATATATAGAAGCCTCCCGTCATCATTTCTAATGCATTCCTACTCTACATCTCTTGTCGCAAGTATTCTTTGCCCTTCATATAGTTTAAGTAGAATCTTGTAGGGTTTTCTTCTATCGAATAGTTTTATTTAGAACTTTCTTTTATTTCGAAATATGTATTTTGAATTTTGAAAAATAGTTTTTTTATTACTTTCTTGAATGTGCAAAAAAAGAACGAACTACCTATCGTACAAAAAACAAATGCAAATATCTCTTTTTTATTGTTCTTACATATTCACATTATTTTTTTAATGGAAAACCGAAGACATATGCATATTTATGTATTTATAAGTGATATATAGTATATTATATAAGAAAAAAGTATTTATGGAATAAATTGAAATTTACTTTTACATTCTAAAAAAAATAGCTATTTTTTGTAATATTATCCCTATATTGACAAGATGTATTTACTTTAAATATGGACAATGTGATCGAATACATTCAGTCCAATCGTCAAAAATAATTCCGTGCGGAATTTCTTTCTTCTCCCTTTTCCCCAATTGTAAAGAAATTTCCCGCGGAATTCCCTTTTTTACATCTCATATTTTAATACTATTTTATGCAACAGTGTAAAATAGGAGTTAAAGGGAGAAAGGAGAAAAAGTAGGCATCATAAGAAATTAATTCTTGTAGGTCGAAGACAAATAAAACCCAATTGCAGCATTTAGTGTCAGTGATGGAATTACATTCTGACATTGCAAGTGGATTCTATAAAGGGAGCAAAGAGTCTTTTACTCGGTTTTGAAAAAAAAACGGAAAATGAGCTTAATTCGATGGACCACCAAAAAGGCCATCGCCGAATGGAAAAAGGTTTAGAACTCAATTTTTCACATTCATTTGCATAAAATAATTCATTCATTCTTCAAATTGCTTAAAATAGGTTTGGGCTGACCAAAAAAATATGTAAAGCAAAAAGCTGCACAGAATTTAAAATACAAAACAGGAACAGGAGGCGGCCCAAACAGGGAACAAAAATTATCAAGCACCGAAGAAGCTATCTATAATATTATTGAAATTAAATCTTCTGTAGAGGGTGTTGCAGTAAACTCTGTTGGTCTTGACGATGATGAAGAGACGCAGCGAATATTTAAGTACTGCCTGTGAAGAAACAGGATCAAAATGACTGTTTTCGACTCGCTATAGAAATATGACTGAAATTATTGGAATCGCTCTCGGCCCTTTAAAATTCGAAATGTGTTATTCATTGAAATGCCATCAATCTAATGATTTCCCTTTCTTCATAATGAAATCAAAATACCATGCTTTTTTTAATTATCACGACGTTGTCTCTATTTCGTATTAAAAAGGCATATTTTCTTAACATCTACATATATGTTAATATGTATGTATTTTACATAAAAAGTGAACTTAAAATTTATAACATACGTAACTAATTAACTACAATTACTGCATCTCTCATTTACGACGTCTATTACCTCCTGACTTTTTGCCAAAATCAATTTCACTACACAACAGAGGATTACTTGCTTTGCTTTCATACGCAGCCTTGGCAGATGAATTGAAATAACGTGGTTTCTTTGTGGATGCAGCTGACGATGATGACGAGGTAAGCGGCGTTGTAGCAATACGTTTTAATGCCTTCGGTACAATATATTCAGGAACATGTGATAAATGAGGTTGTACTTTAACTGTCTTGAGCGGTTTGTCATGGCGCAAAACTTGTAAATCACGTGTATTTTCACTAAAGAATGCCTTCAACTTTTCGCTATTGAAAATTTCTTGTTTAATTTCACGCACACGAGCCTCATGGACAGCGGTACGGGTTACAGCACGCCAGGCATCTTTGGCACGATAACGGAACGCCTCAACTTCTTCCATTTTAAATTGGTAGTTTCTAAAAAAAAAACAAGGAATAAAAAAATAATTTGTTTGCAATAGGATGTATTGAGTGGCTACTTACTTAATAACCTGTTCCTCGCTCATGTAGCCGGCCTTCAAACGCTCCTCCACTTCATCATTGATTTCCTTATCCTTAATGCTAACCATGGATAGTACGGTACCCTTGTTATTACCTCTGGCTGTGCGTCCAGCCCGATGAATATAAGAGCTAACATCTTTGGGGAAATCAAAATTGATGACATTGGTAACACATTGGAAATCAATGCCTCTTGATGCCCCAGATTCACGATCCGATTTATTGCGTCCAGGATTTTCCAACATATGCTCATCGGAGGCAATAATGAAATCGTATATGCCTTGATTAAATTGATTAATGGTGTGTATGCGAATTTTTGCTGGTAATTCCGAATTGAGGACACATGATTTTATGCTGAATTGTTCCAAAAATAATTTCAATCTGTAAGAATGAAAGAAATAAGAAGAATATTTAAAATGATCATTCATCGCAGAGAAAAATATTTTATTTTCGTGTAATTTGAGTCAGAGAGAAGATTAGATAGGTAAATCATCTGGAAGCCAACTGTGGTTCGGCACAGATGCTTCTTCTTTGTAATCGATAACAAGTTTTCATCATACAAATGGAAGGAATGTATAGTGGCGGTGGGCTAAATGATCAGTATTTTATTTCTTAAATTACGTTAATATGATCTGGATGTACATGATTAAAAAACTATATTTTTCCATAACATAATCTTAACATGTCGAATTTAAATAAATAAATTTATTTTTAAGAAATATTTTTTTTTTCAATGTCAGCTTATGCGTTACTATGTACGAAAAAAATGAAATTAATTGAAATCGTGAATATTTTAAAGAATATTTTTTCGAGGTCCTGGAAAGCGTTGACTCTTGAAAGTATATTTTTCAAGAACAAAGAAAACCGTAAATTATTTAAAGAATATTCTTCAAGGACCCCACGAAGTAGTGGCTTTTTTCAAGGACCTATGATATCGTTTTAGAGAAGGGAGAAGGTTTGGAAGCGTTTGAATTACTTGTCTTAATTTTTTTCCAATCTCAAAAGTTTGGATTTTTTTAATGGAGTTTCATTTGCAACAGCTTCATTTTGCAGATCGATTGATATATCTTCACGAGTTTAAAATAAAAATTTTAAATACAGCAAACCGCGCTATACGTTATCTTCCATAATAATATATTGGTTACGATCTAATATCGTACACGTATAAAATATTTTACAATTTGTATACTCACTTATAACAGCGATCCACGGTATTGACGAAAATAACATTTTTCCCGCGAACCAAACGAAGCTTCAGCAAAGCATATAAAATCGCCGGCTTATCTACTTCCTCAGCCAAAATGCGCTGATGTGATAACTGACTCTCTGGCACAAGTTCAGGCTCTTCAAGTTTTAAAATAACCGGATTATTCAAAATAATATTTTTCATATTCATAACATCTTCGGTTATTGTGGCCGATACCAAAACAGCTTGATAAATTGGTGGTAAATATTCGACCAACTTCTTTACATCTTTCTCAAAACCAAATGAGAATACCAAATCTGCCTCATCTACGACAAGAGTTTCTAAATGTTTCAAATCCATTGCACCCGATTGCATATGTGCCAAAACTTTGGCGGGTGTTGTTACAACAACATCAGGCCTCTCGGAGAGAACATGTCTTTGTGCCACCGTATCGCTGGACGACAAATCGACAACACGTAAAACTTTACCACATTTTTCACTCATTTGTTCCATGGCTTTACGTGTCTGCTGGCATAGTTCTTTACTGGGAGCCAGTACCAAAGCACTGATACATTGCTCGGCAGCATTCAACTTGGAATTGAGAATCTTTTGAATCAATGGTAAGGCAAAAGCAGCTGTCTTGCCAGAACCGGTGCGAGCCTTGACTATAACATCTTTACCTTCTAAAAGTAAAGGTATGGCGGCCTCCTGTATCAATGTGGGTTCACTCCAGCCCATTTTTGATATGGCCTACAAAATATTTGTAAAAATATATGTATTTAAAAATGTTAACAATTAAGCTTTTATACTGGGTTTTACCTTTATAATGCGATCATCCAATTCCATTTCATGGAATTGCTTTATTTTACGTTTCTCCGTCATAGTTTTATTTGCTTTTTTAACAATTTTTCCAAATCGAGGCGTTTTACCCACCACAAAACAATGCACGTTTTTATATGCTTCTTCTTCACAGAGAATGAAACTCATCGTAATTTATTAGCTACCATCTGTTATGATGCCATTTGATCACCGTTGCAAATAGTAAACAAATGCTATCAATTCAATGTGAATACGATCTTTCCTTCATTTGAAAACATAATTCATTTTTAAAAAATATATACAAATAAAAAAATTAAATATTAAAATATAGATTAACTTTTATCAACATGAAGAACTTTATAGTACGTTTACATTTATATTATATATATTATTATATTATTATTATTTATATTATTTTTCATTGCGCTCCGGTGATGTTACAAACTGTTGGATATAATAGGTTCGTTCGTTTACTTTCCCAGTAATATTTACTCAGTAAGAATTTGCAGAGAGTAAATACGAATTTTTCCTTCTCAAGAGAGAAAACTGCAAAAAGTAAACGAACAACATCCAGTAAAATATAGTTTCGACACAGCTGATTAAAACAACAAACAAATTCGCGCAAACTAAAAAGCAGCATTTTTATTAGAAAAATGGATAACAAGCGGAAAATTGATGTTGTTTGTTCCCCACAAACATTTTAAAGGGTTGCGACCTGTTATTCCTGTATCTGCAATTGATATGGGGGTGGACATAACCGATGGTGTTCCAGACATGTTAGGGATGCACACTTTTTTGTTTGGTTTTTGAACCTAAAAAATCGTTCGCCAATTACTCTTGTATTACCTTATTTTTAAATACTTGCGTTTTCTTCATCCATTTTGGTATTTAATGATACAAAATCATAATAAAATTCACAAAACAATCAATTTTCTTGAGAACAATTTTTTGTTTGTTTACAAAACATAACAAAACAGCTGATTAAATATCAGCTGATGGTACAAGAAAATTCTTACTGAGTAAATTTTCCTTGTAAGAATTTGCAAATACTCAGTAACACAACTGTCAAATCTGCTCTCTCAATTAACTCTCTTTTACTGGACTTTTGGGTAAACGAACAACATTTTGTAATAATTTGTATAAATTCGTACAAATTATTGAGTAAACGAACGAACCTAATATAAGGCACAAAGAGATACCCATGAAAAACTCATAAAATCTACAAAAGTCCCATGAAATATATTTATAACCGTGAATGTGGCAACATAAGGCCACTTTGAATTCCCCCCAAAACACTATCGAATAAACATATGTTTTGAAAAGTAGAAGAGTTGGAAAAACATAACACAAGACGCAAGCGGCTTATTTCACAACAATATTAAATTTAATTAATTAAAACATTTAGCTATTAAAGTTATTAAAGAAAATATGTCATCTATACGTTCACTGCGTCCATATTTGGCGGAAGGTTTGCGAGCCGCCGGAATTATGGGTACCGGTGACATTTTGGCGCAAACTGTTGTGGAGAAAAAGTCCCTTAAAGACGTCGATTTAATACGCACAGCAAAATATGGCTCACTGGGAATGCTGTTTGTCGGCCCAGTCCTCAAATTCTGGTTTGGTTTATTGGATCGTCAGATTAGAGGCCGTCAAGGTGTGCAACGTGCTCTAAAGAAAATGGCTGTAGATCAAGTGATAATGGCCCCCTCACTGAATTTAGCCATCGCCAGTATGGTGGGGTTAATCAATAATGAAAAACCTCAAGAAATAGCAGAACGTATTAAAACTCAATATCCGGATATAATGAAAACTAACTACATGATCTGGCCAGCAGTACAGATATTAAATTTTGGTTTAGTACCTCTGCGATATCAGGTGGTATTTGTACAGACAATAGCTGTATTTTGGAATTGTTTTGTTTCGCAAATGCTGAATGAAAAATTGGCCACAAAGACACCTCAGACTATCGAAGAACAAGGGAAGGTTTCATAAATTAGTACAATTTTTTAATTATGTTATTTTACGTAGTTTTTTATGTCCTATAGTTTTTTAATTAAATTATAAGATGATAATGACAAATACAACGTATATAGAATTGTATAAGATGAAATATGTTGACAAGTTCATATCATATTCCACATCTAAAAGTGGAGTTAAATTTTCGGAACATATTTTTCCATGTTAAGCATATTTTAAATTCATGATAAGAAGAATGCTTAAGACAAAAAATAAACAACTATTATATTTTTCATAAATTTAAATATTTGTATTAAATTACTTATAAATTTATAATAGACACAAATTAAGTGTAATATGCACAATTTACATAAAATCGGACGAAATTCTGAACATGTTTGATTAAAACATATGAAATGTCTAGTCTCAATTTCGAAATTTCGTCCCAATCGTTTTCCGTGCAAAATATCTTCTCAGTGGCACACACATTGGATGTATGGTGCACTATTTGAATAAAATCGGAGCTATGGAAGTTATATCTGAAACGATTTAAGTCAACCCTAACACACGTAATTCTTGACTCAGTCGCACACACATTATTTTAGCTGCACCAAATTTCATTCGGATCACAAATGTGACCTGTATATTATTTGCAATAATGCATAGAGAGGCAAACAAATGGGCGAACATACTAATAAGGTGAGTATAGGTAAATATGGGTTTACTTGTGTAGAAGTAAAAACGTCTTTAAGTTTAGCCAGGACTAACATTTATAACCTCCATCTTTAGGTGGATGCAATCGTTCGGCACCTTTTTTAATTCATATCCAATATGTACCTAATTTGAGCCAATTTGGTTAAAAAACCCGAATAATGACGATACGTTTATAAGGGGACAATTTTAAAAATTGGACCAATGTTGAATTTCAGCGAGAATTGAAAATAATAGGTTCTTTCGTTTACTTTTCCAGTAACATTTATTCAGTAAGAATTTGCAAAGAGTAAATACGAATTTTTCGTTCTCATGAGGGAAAATTGCAAGAAGTAAACGAACAACATCCAATAAAAATATTGTATCGATACAGCTGATTAAAACAACAAACAATTTGTCGCAAAAAAGGAGCATTTTTGTTAGAAAAATAGACAAATTGATATTGTTTATAAATACTTAAGTTTGTTTTCACCTATTTTAATGTTTAATCATACAAAATAAAAATAAAATTCATAAAACAATCATCTTGCTACAGAACAATTTTGTTTTTTGTTTACAAAAAATAACAAAGCAGCTGATGGTACAAGAAAATTCTAATTCTTTGTTAATTTTCCTTGTAAGATTTTGCAAATACTCAGTAACGCAACTGTCAAATTTGCTCTCTCAATTCACCCTCTTTTGCTGGACTTTTTGGTAAAGGAACGAACCTAATAGTAAAAAACGAAAATTGGAATGTACCGTTATTAGGAGACTATCGTCAAAAATTTACCAATACTGAAAATTTTTAGTAAGATCCAATGTGATTAAATATAAATCAAAATTGTTTTCGATTTACAATTTTCTCTTTGAAATTGTTTTTAGTTGTCCCATTAAATACAATTGAAAAGTTTTCAATTTTCAGGTTTATTTTATAAAAAGGGAGATATTTTCTGAGAGTCACTGTATAATAATGTTAATACGTTATTAATTCACTTGTGAATGGCAAATAAAAGACAATACTGGACCATATGTTTATTTGTTTACCCAATTTAATTCGTCACTTTCCCGGATTCCTCACGCCGTTTCATCAACGTTCCATCTCATATGGGACTTTTTATACCGGAAGATTAAAATATTTCTATTAAATTTGTATTATTTTTAAGGATATATCTTCAAGGAGAAGAAAAACACGGGTTTACATTTAAGCTTATGTCATAAATCATCCTACTCTATTTAATTCGTGTATTCCAAAAAGGCTGTGTTGCTTCGAAGGCAGCATATTTTATTACGCTTTAGGATGTCCAATGTTCGTGAAATCTTAACACTACAGTTTGGTAACTATGCCAATTATGTGGGAACCCATTGGTGGAATATACAGGTGGGTTATTAATAATGAAATTCTGTCAATGAGTTCTGAATAAAATTTTCTCCATATTTAACAAAAGGAATCTGGATTTACCTATGATAGCGGTGCTGAACCGTCAGAAATAAGTCATGATGTGTTGTATAGAGAGGGAGTTAATCATAATGTAAGTTACTTTAGAAAAATATTTATTATTTACATTACAGAAACTGAATGTGTTTCTCTATTTCCTTTACAGAGACAAACCACCTATACACCACGTTTGCTACTTGTCGACTTAGACGGTTCCTTGAAACATTTACCACGTGAAGGTGAATTATATGGCAACAGTTTAAAACGAGACATTCATGAGAAATTATTCGGGAAAGAAGGTGATGATGAAAATACCGAAGAACATGAATCGGTTAAAAAGCTCAAAGAGGATATAGCATGGCAGCCATCGGATGTTGAAATCGTGGCTGAAAAAGAAGCCGCAAAACATGAATTTCAAGAGGATTTAGATAATGCTGCCACCACATTAGAGGAGAAAAAGTACAATCTAGCCGATAATGTTGATTCATGGGCAGATTTTCTATATGGTCGTTATCATCCACGTACTGTACATGTTGTTAAACAATATCGTCATGATGTGGAGAAACAAACATTCGATACTTTCGGCAGTGGTGTTCAGTTGTGGAGAACAGAACAATTCGAAGAAGATTTTTGTGATCGTATACGACAATATGTTGAAGAATGTGATTTTATGCAGGGGTTTCAAACGCTATTCGATGCATTTAATGGTTTTGGTGGTATGGCCACACAGTGTCTGGAACATTTAAATGATGAATATGGTAAAGCCAATTTGGCAATACCTTTATATACGCCGAAAAATATGCATTATGAAAATGCAGGTAAGTAAACGAAAATGTTGAGGCAAAAATAATAATATACTCTAGACTTTATGGATGCATATTTTATATTACATCTGTTGGATGAAAGGGATTGAGGGCTTGTTCGCGTATTATTTTGAATGACAATTATGGAACGTCACATACTTTTTAAAATTCACTAAGGGTATCAATTAAGTACGAAATCGAAAAAATCCATAACATTCCATTTAAAAGGAGATTCTGTCGCGTAGCCGAATTTGACATCTGTCTATAGGAAAATTTTTTTATTATCCAACCCAAAAAAATGTTTCGGATTCTGTCATGTATCCGATTTTGGCATTCATCCATAGCAGAAAGTACATAAAAGGGTCCCAGTGGAATTTTGAACGTTTCCACGACAGAGGGGTCTACGATCCGAAACGACCCGAGTTTTTCTCGGAAAACGTCTGTCTCCTCAGCCAATAGGGCTGCTACAACAACAACAAAAGTGGAATTTTGAAACCCCTTATTTAAATTGATATCCATATTGCCTTCAGGAAGTGGTAAAATACACGGTTCTCAGCGGAACTTTGATTTTGAAATCCCATATATAAGGATGTATGGTATTCTCCATAGAAATAAAATAAATAAAAAGTGTTAAAAATTCAAGACGACCAGCGAGCGGGCCATAGACATGACTTGTTTCAAATTTGGTTTAATTTTAAGGAAGGCTATAAAAATTTAAAATTGTTCCACAATTTTTATTAGTTAGAAAAATAATTTTTATTGATTAACTTTTCGTTATTTATAGATGAAGCCATGTCGGATTCAATACGTGTGGTAAATAGCGCCTTGACTTTTAGCCAACTTATCGAACAGGCCAATCTCTTTGTACCACTAAGCACACAAGATCGTGTTTGGCGTCAGCTGGGATCTCCGCGTAAATTCAATTCCATCGAATTCCGACCGGACAATCTTTACCAAACATCAGCGGTGTTGGCCTCTTATCTGGATACAATTTCCTTACGTTATCGACTCAAAGAAGCACCAGCTTCAAATACTTTGGCAGGATTTTGTGGTGATATGACCAATTATGGACGAAAATTTGCTGCAGCAGCTTTTAATCTTCCATTTGCAATGCAATATAATATGGACCTTATCGATTGTTTGGATAAATTTGAAGGTCCATTGTTTACACAATTAACGCCAAATTGTAAAGTGGGTAGCGATTATGTTATACAATCGTTGTGTGTCCGCGGTATATCCAACGATCGCTTGAAACGACCACGCGAAGCAGGCAATACGGAACAAATGCGTATGGCAGCATATCGTTGCGAAAGTGTATCGGAAATGTTCCAATTATATCTGCAATGTTCCAATCATGCTGGAATGGCTCATGTAACATCGATAAAATCGCCTATGCCAACACGTCTACCATATCCCGATGAAATATTTGCCGATCATTTAACTACCTCAGGTTTTATACATCCTACGGAAAAAAGACCGGAAGATAAACGTGTTAACACAGTGCCATGTGTTGCATCTATACAATCATCAAGTGAATTGGGTGATACCTTGGAGACACTACATCGTGAGGCGAAACGTATTAAAATTGCAAAATTGCATCGTTTCAAGGCAGCCGGTTTGGAAGATGATGATTATGTTGAAGTTCTTGAGAGTTTGTTACAATTTAAAGATAATTATGAGGATAATTTTGAATTATAGCCCCATAAACGTTGTCTCGTTGAAGACAAAAAGGAGGAACAGTACATAAATGCAATGTGTACAGGATCATTTAAGAAATTAAAACTATGTTTAAATTATTGATTTATGCATGTGAGCAAATCAAAGAGAGGACTATATAAAGTTGAACTGATGTGAAACCTTTTGGAATATCAATAATAAAGTTTGATATTTATTTATAAAATTTATTTTTTTAAAGTGAATACTAAAGGTAATTAGAACTGATATGAAGCCTTTTGAATTTCACCTGTAAAGCTTTATAATACTCTTACTTACATTTGAGCGATTGTAAAAATAAAAAACAACAACGTATTCTTCCTTTCAAAGTAGAATTTTATTTAATTTAAATTTCATTTAGATCCACTATTATTCTCATAACACATACAATTTGCATAGGTTTTTGTTTTTGTTTGTTTCTTAGTTTTGAACTTACAATTTAATAATTTATATAGTTTTTGTCCCATCTGACAATAAAGACCGTACTCCGGTATATGTTTTTTTCTTGTATATTTCTAAACTTTATCTACATCTTGTTGTTGCTGTAAAACTTCATCCATTACCTTTGTGGTGGTGAAACGTTTATTTGGACGATTTGTGGACGGTGAAGTTGACGAACTACCCGCCTCACTGCTTGAGGAATGTTGTTGTGTTGGGGCCTGAGCGGGAACCAATAGAAATTCATTGAATAAAAAATCGGCGTCCATTGATTGGGTTTTGCCATGGAAACTGCGTGTTATACGTTTGGGTGGCTCAATAAATTTTTCTTTGACAATTAAGGCGCCCGGGCGAGGACTGGCTGGGCCACTGGCTGAACCCATTTCTGTAGGCATTGTTATGGGGCGAAATATTGCCGATTGTGAGGCTTTATGTTGTGGTGAACCACCACCGGACGATGGTGGTGGTGAGGTTTTCAAATTTATACATGACTGCGTTAGATTGACATCAACAAAATCCTCCACATTATTTGGCACTCTCTTCAGGGTATTGCTTTCGAAGGGAAAATTGGAATTAGATGTGGATTGTGTTAGATTTTCGAATTTCCTCAAACGGGCATCTTGTTTCAATTGCAAACTGTTCGGTTGGGGTATATTGATGGAGGCATGCAAGGCAGCATAGTCCTTTTGGCGATCGATATCGCCACTTTCAAAAAGACTTATTTGTTTTTGGATTTTTGGTGAAATAGTATCGGATGCTTTGCGTATACTTAGCAGGGGTGGTACAGGATCACCACATGTTTGGGGTCCTGCACTTAAGGGGGCTTCATCATCGACGCTGCAACAGCAAGGTACTTTGGGTTCATTTTCATCTAAACGTTTATTGCGCATACTGCTAAAGAGTTCGGTTGATTGTTCGGCATCATCATCGGGTGGTTGATCAGATTCCGCATGACCTTCACAACAATAACACATTTCCAATTGAGGAGCCTCGTCGTGGGGTAATGATGGTGTGGTAGCAGCCGAAGGTGTGGCATCTTCATCATCAAAGCCCTAAGGACGATAAACAAAAAATATTTATTTCCATAATTGCCTCAAAAAATCTATTACAACTTACATCCACGGACAATGTCAACGATCCTTTATTCGCGACAATACTTAAATCCATATTAAAGCTAACCGGTGTTAAACAGGCACTTTTTCCACCTCCCGGACCACCTCCACCACCACCACCAATGGTACCCATATTAAATTCCGTATCATTGCTATCCAAGCTATCCAAATTCATTGGTGTGTAAACGCTAACCGTATTCAAATCACCATCCAATCGAGGAAAGAATCGTGCCAATTTCGCTGCCGTAGCCGATGATGCAGGCAGACTATAATTCCCACCCTCATTACTGGTCAAACTAATCGACATCTCACAGCTGGGTGTTTCCTGGGAATATGTATCCGATATAGCCGGTGATGATGGTTCCGTAATGCTACTTGCAATACTGGATTGTTTACTCCATACTTTAGGAATAGAAGAAGTGGGGCAAAGAAATCTTCATAATTTAGCAATTTCAAATATTGCTTGGAAGTTATGTTGGAAATCATAGGCATACCATTTAGATTTTGATGTAAACAATATTAAAATTGTAGTTTTGTTTTATAAAAAATATATTTTGCTTTTATTTATTTTTTTTGTGATTTGGCAGAAGAAATTAGAAACGGGCATCGGTGCTTTAAACTAAAACAAATAAAAGTGTATTTATTGCAAAAAGCATGCAAAATATATTGAGAAATAGTTTTTAGTGCAAGATAATAATAATGAAATGATTTCTTTTAAAAATCAGGACCCTAACAACTTCGCCTACCCTCTTATGATATATCACAAAATAGCAAAGATTAATTTAAAATTCTGGAAAAAATGAATCGTAATATTTCTTTCAATCTTAAATCAAATTCGAAGATGGGACCCATCAGTCCACACCTTCTAGTACCTCCCACACAATGTAATACTCCATAAAGTTGTGTTACATATATTAAATTGAGCACAAATTTAATAATCTTCTATCAATGTAAATATCGGATTACATACACACTGTGTTTGACCTAGAAGTATGTTATAATTTTCTTTACAAACCACCAGCAGAAAGACAAAGTTGTCGTTTTTAAAAAATCAATTTTTGTGTGGTTTTTCATTTTCAGGTAATAGGTGCCCAGCACTGAACAGTATGTTTCGGAACATCACTAAATTTAAATGCAAATAACTCGGCGACTACTTAACCGATTTTTAAAAAATTTGCACCAATGAGTCGAGGGATTTCTAAATTTTTGGCATTGTGTGAAAGTTCAATGATATTTTAATCCACTATATCGACTATTTAAGAATATGTAAAGAAGGTAGGCACAACCTTTGTTCGATTTGCACGGTCAGTTTTTTTTTACTCTCAGCCTTAGTGAGAATTTTTACAACGGTGTTAGAAAGAGGACATGTATTGCTTTCGCATGAACTAGGATTATTCACTTCGGTCAAAAATTAACAAAATGACAGACGTTTGAAAAATTTTTTATGGAAAATCGGCTATTTTTGACTACAGCCTTAGTTAAAAAAAAACAGTAAGGAAAGTAGTAAAGTCGGACTTGACTGACTATATGAAGATATATATATATATATATGGGAGCTATATCTAAATATGTACCGATTTTCACGAAACTTAGCAATTGAATTAAAATCGGACGAAAATATATATATGGGAGCTATATCAAAATCAGGACCGATTTTCACGAAGCTTAGCAGACATTATTCTAGACTCAATTTAGTACGCTATGCCAAATTTCGCGTAAATCGAAAAATATATAGGGACATTGGTGCACCATTTATATAAAATCGGACGAAATTAAATATGGGAGCTATATCTAAATCTGAACCGATTTTCACAAAACTTAGCACATGTGATTCTAGACCCAACTCAGTACGTTATGCCAAATTTCTTTCGAATCGTAAGATATGAAGGACTTCGAAGCACCATTTCTATTAAATCGGTCGAAAATAAAATTAGCTACCCCACAAAATGGAAAAAATGTTTATGAAAATTAATTTTATAATATAATGCGAACTAACTATTCGATTTCAACTAAACTCTGAAAAACCTAATATTTTATCGAAAACCTGTATAATGTTGGAAGATGGGACTCATTAGTCCACTCCTTCCTATATCTCCCCTACAAAGGATCAATATTTCGAAAACTTGTAAATCTCAAATGAAGCGAACGCAATAGCCAATTTCATCCAAACTCTGCACAACACAATGTTTTTACCAATCCTATCGGTCCTCTTTCCTGGTACCTCTCACACAAAGTATCAACATATTGAATATTCATAAATCTAATATAAAGCGAATGGAATGTCCGATTTGGTCCAAACTGTGCACATCGTAATATTTCATTCAAACTTAAATCTATTTCGAATATGGGGAATATCGGTTCGCTCCTTCTGGTACTTCCCCCCAAAATGGTCTAAATTCTGCTGAAGATTAATTGGGAACAAACCATCGGATTTAACCAAACTTTGACACCCTAATATTTTAACTAAACCTGTATAATGTTGCAAGATGGGACTTATCGGTCCACTCCTTCTAGCTCCCCTCCTACAAAGGGTGAATATTTTGAATGCTTTTAAATCTCATAAGCTCATATCCATCAAGAATTCTCAAATTATGTATTTGCAGATGTGTCTTCTTTCTAAGTACTTTTGACCGCAGTTTTATTGGGCGGATTTGAACACGGCTGGTTTCAGTAGATTCAGCACGTAAAAAAACTAAAATCACGCGGAGTTCAACCCAATAAATAGGATTTTTTTCAAAAAAAATTGTTGGTGTCGATGTATGGTTGTTTTTTTTTTTTTCAAAACAATCGTTTCTGACCCCATGATGTATATATTCTTGATCAGTGTAAAATTCTAAGACGATTTAGCCTTGTCCATCAGTCTGTTGTAATCACTCTAGCATCTGCAGAAACTGAGCTAGCTGTCCAAAAATCTGCACAGAAGTGCCAGAGCTATATCAGTCGACGTGTAGGCATATCCCCCATATAACAGTACCTCCAATTTTTCTCTATTTTGAACACGTTTTGAACCGAATTGGCTGCTATTTGATATTTTTAAAAAAATCCACGCCAAGGATCGTAAGCCCGATTATGTTCCTTGCAAACAAATACTCGTGAAAATCCTCACAACATCCTTGGAAAATAAATTCCATCCCAATGATAAAAAATGCTTCCAATATACTTGCAAACATAATTTAAATATTGTGGATACTTTTAGCCATTTTAAAAAAATACTTAAAATCAAATCAATCAATTTTTGGAAAATAACTTTTAACAAATCCACGCCCACTAGGTTAGTGATGTTTATTTTTTTTATAAAACTCCCCAAAAAAATTATATACAAATTTTTCACATCTATATTTTCATAGCTATATAGTTGTGTATTAATTAAAATATTTTCCAAGGATATTGGGATTATTTTTAAGAATAGTTTTATGGTGACTATTTGCCTGATAGGGATGGATTTTCATATATTTTTCCAAGAATATTTGTCGACATGTTAAAGAAAATTCTTATTACAGACCTGTAGCTCATCTTATCAACGACTTGTAGCTCCTTGTAAAAAATAATAATAAAAATACTCTCAATATCCTTGGAGAAATATTTTTAAGAAATTCGCACCTATCATTTTAATGTTTTAAAAAATCCTACTAATATCCTTGGAAAATATTTTTTACAAATGCATACCTACTATGCTTTCTTATAAAGCTCCTTCAATATCCTAGGAAAATATTAAAAAACACGTCTATGAGACAATATAGAAATTACCTTAAAAACCTACACAATATATCTTTTGAAATTTATTTTTATAAAACCATCATAGACATAGGGTCTAGGGTCCTTATACAAATACCCTTAAAATCGTCCCAATATCCAGAAAATATATACCCTACAGCATTTAGCTGTCTTTTAAGGCTTTGAGCCCCGACTTCTTTCCGTAATCATAGAACAATTTTCTATTCACAGAATTAATGCAACTATCCTAAGTGATATATGAACAAAATTTGACATCGCTATATCCTTGCATTCGGGAGATACAGTACATTCTTTCTGAAAAATAAAAGTCCAATATCATGAAAACCAAAAGCAAAATCGACGTATATTTTTTTACAAGAATCAAAAATAATTCTGATGGCAGAATTCGTACAATTCGAATACGAAGAGATTTAAATAATTTGGACTGTATACACAAATTAGTACTGTATCGCATAACTTTACCAAAAATTTTAATTTTTAGATTTTTTTTTTTATATGGGTCGTCCATATTCAGGTCTTGACATATGAAATCCAAAGAATATATATCTACAAACTGCATATTAAATATAAGCTCTGATAATGTACGTCTATAGTTTCCAATATCTTTAGAAAATATTCTTAAAAAATTAACGCAAATCATTCATATTAAAAAAATGGAATTGAAGTGATATATTTTTTTAAAAAAGTGCAAAAATCTTACCAAATTTTGAACTGAAAATATTTAAATAGCGCAAACAGCAATACTTTTTTCTAATATATCCAAGGAAAACGTTTATAACTCAAGATAAAAATTAAAATAAAATAACATAAAATTCCATGTTATATTAAACAATATTTTTATTATATTAAAAATAAACATATATTTTTTGTTTGTTTCACATAATTTAAAATTTGGAATTGAAATGGAAAATATAAAATGTAAACATTGAAAATAATTCCAAAAAAGACTTTTTTAACTGCTTTGAATTTCTAAATAAATTAAAACTTACAACTTGACCCACCAGCTACTGAGGCCGTGTTTGATGTTTGCAAACGCTGTTGATCCACCACAGCTGCTACCGGGGTCGACTCAGCATCTGGTGCTGATGTCCGAATCGGATAGCCGCACAAACCACAACGTTCCGGATTCTTTTCATTCAGAATACTATTGTCGTTGCAACGACAAATGTTATTGGTCGGTGTACTGGCCGTTCCCGAACAGATATCCTCATCGGTTATTGTTGTCATCATTGATAGTGGTGTTGAGGGATTTTTCGGGGGTGTGCATGTTGGAGTTTTGAATAGCGGTGCCGAAGTCATTTTTTCCAAAAACTGATCCAATTGTTTGAGCGACAAAGCATTGTGCAATGTTTCTAGGGGCCGTATCGGTGGTACACCACCAAACCCATCCAGAACTGTTAAAGGGAAGACTTATAAGATGAATAATAGAATTTTGTTTTTTCGTAATTAGAGAAAAACACATTGGTTGGATGGCAGGTGAGTTTTGTTGTTGTTCATTGATAGGGTAACACAGATAGGCACAACAGATCGAAGAGTTTATGAAATGATTTTTTTTGTTAAAAAAACATAATAAATTATTAAAAAACATAAATAGAGTATTTGTTTGGATCTTATTTTAGAATTTATTAAGAAATAACAAAAATTTTAAAAATTGGAATCGAGTCATGAATTTTTAAAATTAGCTTTAATGTTTTGCTATAATTAGGACTCCGCTTTCCTGCTACTGATATGGAATATTTAATTCCTATAGCTCTCATATAGTAATAAAGAACATAATACAATAATTTTCATTTCATTTATTAAGCATAGTAACAAAGCCAAATAGGCCATTTAAGTAACACAAAACAACAAATTTTTTATGTCCGAAGTTTTATTAGGCCTTCATGGGAAGTAACTAACATAATTTACAACAGTTACACACCTCATGAGCCAACCCCTTGTATCAATACAAACTCTAACCGATTAATATGATACCCTTCACCACTTTGGGTATATTCTACATATGTATCCTAACAGACGTCGCCTTTCGAAGGAACATTGACATGAAATTGAACGAATATGTGATCTTTATCTATAAGTGAACCGACTAACATCGATCCATACACATACCTTTCTGCATTCTAAGCTGAATGCATGAATGCTAACACGGACAAAAATGTATATGGGAGCTATATCTAAACCTAATGTCACGAAACTTAACACACATCATTCTAGGTTTAATTCAGTACGCTGGGCCAAATTTCGTGCAAATCGAAAAATGTATAGGGACTTTAGTACACCATTTACCTTAAATTGGACGAAAATATATATGGGAGCTATATCTAAATCTGAACCGATTTTTCCCAATTTCAATAGGGTTCGTCCATGGGCCAAATAAATAAGCTGGCCTACAGACGGCACAAACTATTGGGTGCTCACTTTCCACCGAGTCTTAGTTTCTTCTCAACAACGGAACCTGCTCTAATCTACAACATCATTTGAAACATAAAGTGGTTGGGAAAGTGCAACATTGGCACGTAATATATCGTCTGTCCCATCTCTATAGCCATCGATACTATCCCATACTTACCTTCTCACACTTCCTTGTAAGCTTTTCATCCCTCTCTCTATCCACCTTCTTTTCAAAAAGTTATTTCTAAAATCTAAGCTAAAGATTGTCTTCAGAAAAAGTCATTAATAAAATATACGCTGAGGATTGCCCTCAGAAAAAAATATTTGAAAAAAATACGCTTAGAAAAAATCTTTAAATAATCTATGCTTAAAAATGTTGTATTAAATATTCTACACTTACGTCGAATGGTCCTCAGAATAAATTATTTAAAAAATCTTCCCTTCTGATCGTCCTTTGTGAAACAATTTTTAAAAAAAGTTCAAATGTGGGTTGGTCCATAGAAGAAATGGTTTAAAAATATCAGAAAGCACAACTCAACTTAAACTTCCCTTAGCATGGTTCTCAAAGAATGTTCCCTCTATCTTTCCATATCAGTAGCTTTTTAAAACATTTTTTTAATTAAACATTTCTTTTCTAATAAAAAATAATAATTGTTTCGCAACATTACTACTTACCCGATGATGATACTGGTATCATATCTCTTAAATTTGGTGCCGATGAACTGCCACTGATCACGGCCGTACTGAATAGACTATTGGCGCTTGTGGTCATCTTTTTACTAAAACCACCGAATCCCAACATTTTCATATAAGACATCTGGCCGGCAATACTGTGTCTTTGGCGTCGGGACGAGACCGATGACGACGACGATGTCGAAGTGACAGTATTATCTGTAGTGGTATCAGTAATAGGATTGTTGATAATGGAGGATATGTAAGGGGGGTCATTGGTTGTGGTGGTGGTGTTGGCGATAGCGGTGTTGTTTTGGTCATTGTTATTATCGACAACAAAAATGTTAGTAGTAGGTGTTGTGGAGGAATAGTCCAGGGAAATGGTTTTATGAAGTTTTTTATGTGATGCACAGGGGGAGAGTGTATTGTAGGGTGATGTTTCGTCATTTATGGTTATATAGGGAGTTGTGTGGCGACACGATGTTGGGAAAAAGGAAGCAGAGGATATGGGAAATTCATCATTGTTAGTCGTTTCATTTAAATTATCATTATCATGGGAAGTAGTAACAAGTATGTGAGAAGAAGAATTACTTGGATTAGTGGTGTTGGTGGTGGTATTGGTGGCACTGGCTAATGGTGAGGGTCTTGAATTCAAATTATATAAACGATAATGTCCCGCATGTGGATGGATGTGATAATGATGATGATGGTGATGATGTATGTGATGATGCAAATGCATATGAGACAGTTGGGCTGATGGGGTATAGTCATCTGTAGTGGAGGAGTTGAGGGGCTGGTTGGTGGTGGTGGCTAGATCCATGTCCACGTCTTGAAAATTGTTAGTTAAATTGCGATATGCAGTATTAGTTGCGGTAACATTTTCAGCAATTGGATCAAATTGCCTAAAACTACTAATTGTGGGAAACTTAAATGGACTGGAATTTAGCTCAGCTATAACGGGTGCCGATTGTGAAGCAACTAAATTGGACATTTTTCGTTTCGTTTGTGGATTGTTGTTGTTGATGTTTTTGTTCACGTCTTGACTTTGCACATGCTTGTTGTGGTTGTTGTCGTTGTTATGTTGTGTTGCAGTTGTTGCAGAGGGGGGTTTATCTAAAGCCTGACATAATTCCAATGTGGACGCTGTGGGTGAATTTGTGGGCGAACCCCCCGGTGCCTTCAAACTATCCATGAGAGATAATTTCCTTGTTGTTGGTGGTGGGGGTATAAAAAATTCACTACTTAGTAGGGAGGCTGGTGCGGAAGAAGAAATTTGTATTTCTTCTTCAAATGGTGTGGGACAATCATAGGCCGGTGAATTGCTAATGGCCATAGGGGGACTCGATATTTTACTATAATTGTCCATGTCACAAAGATTTGCCTCACTTTTAGAATGGGCATGCGGTTGCACAAATTCATCTTGATTTGTTGACAAGTGACCCGAACAGTTACACGTCAACGGGCGCTCGTTTGTGGCCAATGGCGATATGCGTCGTATTTCTCTTAACTTGTGCATAAAATCTCCCTCATCACCACTCTCCATGCGTCGCATGGTCAACAACTGGGCCTGTTTCTTTTGCATTTGACTGCTGGGTGAGGGTGATTTGTGTGCCGTACACAGAGTATGCGATTCAGGGGTACCCGGAGTTAATGAAAAATCTATTTCGGACAAAGGTAGCTCATTGGTGGACGAGTCGATTTTAAAGAATGTCAAATTATCGGTTACACGTATTTGAAAACAAGACTGAGTTAAATTAGTATTGGGACGTGATGTTAAAATCTCTTGAAAATCTTTATTTTTAGCTGTGGAGAAGGTGGAGGGAGGTGAGGATTTGGGCTCATCGTTAGGTGGTGATGAACTTGGCGTCATAGCTAAAAAGCCATAATCCAAAACAAAATATTGGCAGACAGAGAGATATATAAACAGAGGAGAGAGCAAATGTCAATAGCAAGGCGGCATTTACAAAGAAGGTGGTGTTTATTTTTTTAATTTTGGGTCGAAATGTTTTGGAATGTAAATGTTGTTGTGTTGTCGAAAAAAAAAATAAACGAAAAAAATTGTAGATTTGTTTCTTTTTTTAATAAATGTTTATATGGCATAAACTTAAAGGTATGTGACATACACGCACAACAATAATGCATAACAATTTGGTTTTTTGTTAGGAGGCGAACGAACGAGTAACCGCTTGATTGGTTAATGGCAAATGACAATGGTTAATGGCACACAAGAAATTGTAAAGGTGTCATTAGGTGGTCCTAGGAAAACATTATTTAAACAAATCTTCTCTTAGGATGGTTTTCAGTAAACAATATTTAAGAAAATCAACGCTTATGAAAGAGAAACTTTTTTCAAATCTACACTTAGAATAATCCTCATTGAAAAAAATGACTTAACAAATCTTAATTTAGAAAGGTTCGGTGAAAACAATATTTAAAAAATCTATGCTTAGAAAAGTCCTCAGAAAAGTATATTTAACAATTTCGCTTGGAAAGGTCCTAAGAAACAATATTTTAAAACTCTACGTTTAGGGAGGATCATAGAAATAATTACTTTAAAAAATACGCTTAAGATGGTACTTCGAAAATAATATTAAAAAAATATACGCTCAGGATAGGCCATAGAAAAATGATTTTAAAATCTACGCTTAAGATGGTCCCTTGAAAAAATTATTTAAAAAATACATGCTTAAAATGTTCTTCAGAAAAAATATATATTTGGAAAAATCTACGCTTTGGAGGGTTCCTAAAAAAATACTTCAAAAATCTTGCACTAGGATAGTACTAAAAAAATCTGCACATAGTCCCTAGAGTAATGTATTTAAAAAAAATACTTTTAGCATGATCCTCAGAAAACAATTACTTTAATTACGTTTAGGATGGCCTTCAGAAAAAAGTAAAGTAATTTAAGCAATGGATGGTTGATGGTACATACTTTAATCTACTTATGCATATCAATCAGGCCGTACAAATGTCGTTTTAACATTTGATGTTCATATTGAAATATATTAACCCTAATTCTACCACCCTTAACCTCTTTAATACCTTTACTATATTCATTGTGCCAACCACATGGTAATTTATGAAAACAAGAGAATGTTTGGGTTATTTTATTATTCGCATTTTTTGTTTTGTTTTAATTGAGCGACAAAAAAATTAGTTGTTAAAAAAATTTATTGCACAGCGCACATAACACACATTGAAATAGTAGAAGAAGAATTGAATGAAGAGAGAACAACAGGCAGGCAGTCAAAAGCAAGCAATTATTTTGCTTTATTTTTTAATTTGCTATTTAGTTTATTTTTAGATGAATAATGTACATTATTATGTTAAGATTTAGGTTGAAGATTGAGAAGAAATAGTAGTAGTGGTGGTGGTGGGTAAGTGTTTTAGAACTTAGAAATATATTCAACAACAACAACAAGAAGTAACACAACATTTTTACAAGCATGCAAAAAGTTAGTTTTTGTGATTTATTTTTTTTTGAAATTGTTCGGCGGATTGTATTTTTGGAAAATGTAATTCGAAGTCCCCTAATTGTTTTCGTTATTAATTTTGGATTTTATATTCAGTATGTAATTGTGGATATTAAAACATAGTTCTATAGTTGATACTTTCTTCCTTAGGATGGATCTTAGAAAAAATATTTAAAATAATGAACTTCAGAAAGCTATAAATTTAAATCTAGGCTTAGGATGATCCGAAGATTTCTTTTATATCTTCTCTTACGATGGCTCTCAGAAAAAATATATCCTTAGGAAGGTACTCGAAAAAAATATTTAAAAAATATATTCTAAGGATGCCAATTCGAAAAACAAATATTAAAAACCAGTAAGGAAAGTTCAAAAGTCGGGCGGGGCAGACAATATGATACCCTTCAGCACTTTGGGAACACACAAAAAATGCTCATATGCACAATATCCTTCAGATAGAATATACATAGCATCTTTTGGGGACCATTGAAATGGAATCGAACGAAATTAACTGCATGAAGTTAATAGATATTTGAACTAAATTAAACCAGCCCATACACATACCAATCTGAAATTTATAAAAATTAAATGTCAATCATCGAGTAACGTCAACCTGTAGTAACTTCAATACGGTATGCAAAATGTTTTCTTAATCGGAAAACATAGACAGTATGGTATCAATTCAAACCTAACTCAGTACTCTGTCTCAATCGCTCAAATATTGGCAGTATGGTGTTCCATTTACATAAATTCGGACGAAAATATATGTGGGAGCTACATATAAATCTGAACCGATTTCAATAAAACTTGGTATATATCAAATCATATATGAGAGCTATATCTAAATCTGAACCGATTTCAACAAAACTTAGCATATATCAATCCAGACCTAATTCAGTACTCTGTGCCTAATTTTGTCTCAATCGGAACAATATTTGGAGTTTGGTGCACCATTCACATAAGGACGGTCCTCAGAACCACAATCGTTAAAAGAATGGACGTTTAGAAAAAATGTTTTAAAAATCAAGGCTCAGTTTATTAAGCATATTTTCTAAAATATAAAAATATTGTGAAGCAACCCAACCCCGTCTTAGTTAAACAAAACGACGGCTTTAATTTAAAGAATCGACGTAGACATTTGTCCTCTAATTATTTTTGACAAAAATAGCTTCCTACATATAGAGGTTTTTATAATTTAATGTTTATTGGAGGACAAATGTCTATGTCGATTCTTTAAATTAAAGCTTTCAGAGACACTATTCCAGTTGCAATAAACATACCTCTAAAACTCCAATTATTGTGAAATATTTAGTTCGGTTTTAAAAGTATAAGGACACTTTAAAAATTGCAACGTGGCGGACTACATGGTCACCTCTCAAAAGCAGAAAAAAAGCTATTCTCTGGACCGTTTTTGGGGGCTATATTCAAAAATAGACATATATTTATAATTTTTAGAAGATTTGCTACATAAAGATGAACAAAAATATAAAATTTCCGATTTTAATTCTTAAAATACCGAATATTTGGTATACCGTTATAATTGTATATTCTGAAATCAGTTCTTCATAAGAAAATGTGAAATATAATAATATGTATATAACAACAATTATACTGAATACAAAAAATCCAAAATTATTTATTTAAGGCAACGAAAGCCAAATTCACAGAGAGAAAAATTTGTTAATTTAACTACTGGCAATACTCATGAATTTATTACAAATAAAAGTTTTCGTTAAACTTTTATGTGGAGTTTGAAAAGCAACAAAATTAATGCTGCTGCACATTGTCAGTAGTTAATTTAACAAAACAAAATTTTGTATTTGTTTCTTTTCGTTTTAGATACAAAAGAAATATGCTTCAGCCAAATACACGGAATTTCCCGACCAGATGCTTATATAAACTCATTTTGAAATTATACAAAACAAAATTGTTAAGATTTTGGTTTGTTTGTTGGATTATTTGATTGATTTGTTTTGTTTTTTTGTAGAGATTCGTTTGTATGTTACAAAACACAAGAGAGGTCGTATTTTGTACATATACATAATAAATCAAATAATAAAAATGTAAGAAAGGAAATTTATATTAGAAAAAATTATATATACTGGAAATTATAACCTATAGGAACGAAGAACATAAAACAAACTAAAGAACCGAACCCCATTAGTGGTTAAGTAATATTTGAGATTTTTTTGTTGTTGTTAATTTTATGGCACAAAGGGATTTACAAAATTAAATATACACAATGTAAAATAATAATAAGTGGGCTTAACAACAATTTTGTAAATCCATTTTATGATAATACCAACAGCACGTACCATGTCTACGAAAAAATTTATGTTACTGTTAAACGCTCTTAGAAAAATTATAAATTTCGAATGAAAATTGTATCCCTTTTAGTATTCTTATACATTATTTACACGCTGCACATTATATACATTAGGCATTCCCATTAAATTGCAACAACTTCTGATAACATAATTTTCGACATTGTTCATCACCGTGCTGTTGGTATTTTATTTACAAAACACCCATTCTCTTTGTCATGCAATTTTAAACCAAAACTTTTCCCCCATAATTAGAAAATAATTTAAGTTAACTTCGATTTGATTAAAGAATTGTAAAAAAAATGATAAATCTAATCAATTAAATAAATAGAAAAAAAAACGGTAACTAACAAAAGCATAACGACGTCTATGCAAGAAAAAGGCAAATAATAACAATAATAATAAAAACGATAACCAAAAACAACAGCTATTTTTTTGAACATACCTTTTGATTTTTGTGATCTCTGCTCGAAACTACGTGAACGTGGTTCACCATCTGGGCTGATGGGACGATTTGCTTCCAATGAACCAGTTTGTTTGTTCGACTGTTGTTGTTGATGCTGAGAAGCCAGTTCCTTATTTAAACGTTTTGCCAAATCCATAGCCTCATGTCCAGCCACAGTGTGGTGTGAACCAATTGGTATGGGTTTCGACTTGGAATGTCGTATTTCACAATCAAAACCATCGGGAGAAATCTAAGGGAGAAATTAAACAATTTAAATAATAAAGAATACATATAATTTAAAATTTTTAATTATATTTTTATAAATCTCTAAAAATATATAAATTTTTACTTACCAAATGAGTTTTGACTGGACTTTCATCTGTATCATTTTCCTCATCAATGCGTGATGGATTATTTGAACACTCTTCATGAGTCTGTAATTTAAGAAATTAATTCCATGAATTACCACAACATTATTCCCAAAAAATATAGCCCTTTACCGATGTTTTTAATGTACCCGAATCATTACGCGAATGTGGTCTAAATCCTGGTCCAGGTGGTAAGTTCTTTTGTACACAACAATTTACGCCCGGACTAAAGTGTAACTCAACATGGAATCTCTCTTCGGAAGTGGGATCTTTTGTTGGATCCTCATACAGCATAATGACAATTTGTGACATATAATTCAATTCCGATACCATGGAAATATAATCCATGGCACGACGCCATTGTTCATCGGTTAATACATTCAACAATCCGCCGTAACGTAATACCGTCAGCAAAGAATGGACATGACTTTCACTGGTGAAATATAATCGGGTACGAACATGTCGGCCAGGACTGGCAACACCATGACTATATTGTGGATTTAAACGATTCACAGATTCATCTTCGACCTCTTCAATGTTACGTTGTAAATCTGATTTGATTTTTTTCAAAAGTGGTGTGCAAATACCCTGACCTATGGTTAACTTCTCTTGCATTGTCAACCCATATTCTTGGGGTATAACGATATCGGCCAAATATTTGGCGTAGATATACAATTCCTCAGCTTGATCATATTGTAGAGTATGTTGATTGTGCTGCAAATCATATTTTATACAATCATAAATATCGGGAATCTTTGAGATATCATATAGTTTGGATTTAGTACTGAAATCTTTTTCGATTTTTTCCCAACGACAACGCATTAAATCCCATGTTTCACCATGATACAATATGGCATCTTTGGTCTTGGGATCATCTTTTTTAACACTAATAATAATCAAAAGTTCTTTTATCAAGCTATGGACATGATTGCAACATTCTACAGGATTTTTGACGAAATCTAAAGCTTGATTGATTGAGATGCTGTTGTTCGGATTGATGGCGGCACGATCTTCTGCTGTGAATTCACGATCAACCTGCATGAGTTCGTGTAGGCGATTTTTGGCCCTGAAGAAGAAAACATTAATTAAAAAAAATCAATCAAATCAATCGATGGTGTGGTGCTTTGTCGAATAATTACTTCATCATATACTTACATATTTTGATATTTGCTAGAATCACAATCATTATCCAGTAAACCATTTGTATTAGCACTCTTAACCATTTGTACTAGAATTGGGGTTAGTTCACCCTCCAGTGCCAATAGACCTTTGGCAAAGGCCGCTGCTGTCATTTGAACTCTACCCTCATCGGAAGCATATATTTTTAAATCATGGCGAAAGGTTGAATGTAATCTAAAAAAATAAAACAAAATAATTAATGTATTATAAACAAGGGTTTTAATAATTTAATAATTTTAATAATTCTTTGTAATATATTAAATAGAACAAGCTTTTTTGTGTTACTCGTGGTAAATACATGCAACTTTTTTAAGCAACTTTCACTTTTCTTACCTCTCTCTCCTAAAATTCAGCAGAGTTGGTTATACAAGTTGCATGTGTAAACCCTGACTTATGAGTAAATATAATTACAAAATAATTTTCCTATTTAATAGGTGTTTTATTACCTTAACAACCCCAAGCCTTGAGTGCCAGAATAATCTTGCCGTCCTTGCCCACCAGGATACATACATCTAAATATACGACCCAGTTCTTCGGCTTGTATACGACCAGCTGGGGTTAATTCACCACCCCATTTTAAGATAAGGACCAAAGATGGCTCCGATGGTGCGTCTACTTTATATGGGAGAGAACAACAATTAAAGATGTTAGTAAACGATTTTTTTTTAAATATACCGTTGCAGAGATGTGTAAGTATGTAATTATTATTTAGATTAAATTAATATGTATGCATAAATATATACATTTTGTTGTTATTGTAAAATATTTGATTACCAAAAATGACTAGGCATTCATATAGGGGGATTGAAATTCAAAAGACTTGGTATGGTCTTGAAGGATCCTTTAAATAATTTTTTAAAATACTCCACGAACTAATAGGCATTGCAAAAAGAGAAATATAAATTCAGGCTCGGGTAGGCATTAAAAATATTTTTAAAACCCAATTGAATAACCCGTATTTTTTAAATAAAGATTCGGTTGGTTCGTAAAAATATTCATAAAAAAATCCCCGCTCTGATGGTTCGTAATAAAATATTCCTTAAAAATCTATGCTTTGGGAGTTATTATAAAATATTCTGTTAAAAATTCTACAAGATTTGAAAAATACATTTTGAATTATTAAATATTAAATAGTCCTTTTTAAATATTATTCTTGAAGAAATTCGTTAAAAAATATTCTTTGAAAATCGGTACTATATTAGTTTTTTAAGTTAGTAATGGTGCACTGTGCAATTTTGAAAAAAGGAGATCGTGCATTGTGTTTGTAGGTATTGTGTTGAATTTTTGTTAGAGTATTTCTACTATAGAATAATAGTCATGAACATTCAAAATATAAGAAATAAAACAAAATTATACATACAATTTTTAACATTATTACCGTCATCAGAACTGGAACCTCTTGGTCGGCCTTTTGGTTGATATTTCATTTGTACTTTGCGATTAATGCCAGAAAAATGGCCATACCTATAAAAAAATTAAATGCTTTATTTAATAAAACGCAAAAAAAATCATCAGCTTAGATCTTACATTTCCAAAACACTTTTCAATTGTTCCAATTTACTTTTCTTCTCCTCAATTTCGGGATTATCTTTTGTCTCAATTTCGGCCAATAGAAATCGGGCAATATCTAAAATTTCCTGCAACTGCTTAGGACGTTTCAATTTCACGTGACCATTTTTAAAGCCATCATATTTTTCAAAAATTTCAAAGAATCTAAAATAAGGGAGAACATTGAATGTAAATTTTTGGTTTTCAAGTTTTTTTTTTTTTTTGAAATGCCACAACTTACTTGGGATGCCGCACTTCAACTTTCATTTTTTGTTTAGGCGTACGATCACCATGCCGAATGACAGCCACAACACAGCGTAGTTCCATCATTTTACCAAATGTTGTCGGTACAATGGGTGGATCATCTAACTGAAATGGCACCGACCATGGTATATGCAGGGTCGGTGTTAGTTCTCTCAATATCATATTGCCCAATATTTTTGCACAATCGTCATAATATTTATTGGAATTTTTCACAAAACTAAATCCATTGACGTCGCAGACAAATGATTTGCCATTTGCTCTAAAAAATTGATAAATATTAAAAAGTGAGGTAAATATTGTGTACTAAATAGAAATGAGCTAAGAGGAATTAAGGCATACGAGTATTGTTTTAATAATAACCCCTAGTAGCTGCTAAATTTTTCTGGCCTATTTTTCCCACAAAGAAATTCGATAATATAAATTGTAATAAGGGGCAACAAGGTTCAGCAGAATGCAATTAGTTAGCTAAGAAAAAAAGAGTTTAATGCTACTGAAAGTTTCGGCATTGAGAAGTGTCTGTATCGCAAAAAGTAAGCGGAGCTCGGAGAAAATAACCAAGAGTCAGCGATCACTGGATTGAAATTCGAAATGACTACATAGATCTTTGCACACCTCCTATGATAATTGATGCTCATTAGAGTACGACTCGATATGTTTTTCGGCGCAAGGGAATCTTCTTAAAACCCCCTACAAAACAACGACAATAGCGAGCTCAAAAAACTTCTACGGTGTCAGGACATTCAAAGTGGTCTATCATGATCTTAGGAACTGATGTAAAAAGTGAACACTGGAATAGATCAGATAAAGTGACTTTCTATCGTTTTGTCGTCTTTGAGGCATACCAGACCTCTATTACAGTCTCGTTTGGATTTCTCTTATGAATTTGTCTGTACTTTCCTTTCACCTCGATATTACAAAGGGAAGAGTGATGCACTAATCAGGTTTATTGTTGCGAATAATGGAATTCTCTACAAAATTCGTGTACAATCAGTGGTTTTTGGGAGTAGGTGACCGATAGTACCAAGCTTTGTACTGATTGAGATGTTTATGAAAAAGTATAAAAGTGGGATCAAGTGAGGGCCCAGGACGCAAATCTTGAGTGTGTAATGAAGCATCCAATTTTCGGATATAAATATCTAAGGACCCAAAATCCATAGATAATATTAAACTACTGGATGACACGTAGACTAACCCCGTCAAAGACACACCAGACTCATTATCATTCATTTACATTCCCGGTTGTATGGATCTCGATAGTGATGTCAACCAAACACATCATTGTTCCCGAACTGAGGACAATGATATGCCGATAAAAGGCCAGATAAGCTACCTAATACTGGTGTGAATAAAAAGGCTTTTGAATCTCCTGGAGTAGATGGCATAATTCCAGTCATGTTGCAGCATGTCTTATATCGAGTATTAACCACACTGAGAAGTTCTTCAGTGTCTGTAAGCGCTTATCAGTGTTATACCAAGACTATAGACCTATTCCAAAAGACTATAGACCTATTAGCCTATAGCCTGTTGGAAAAGATCAGCAAATCGAAGCATACCTACATCTAAGGCAGATCAGTGGATACATAAGGTGATCGGATACATTGAGGGGGAAACTCCAGGACCATAGGGCATAATAGCAATCATGTTGAAACATGCGTCTGATCGATTATTAACCATACTGAAACCGATTTCCTGCCTTTTCTGTGTTCATTCCTATCAAGTCTCTGGAAGAAGGAAAGCGAGGAATACAAGTCACACTTACCATAGAATTACGAAAAACACACACACACACTAGAAAGGCAATGGGATATGAGGTTGGTGATAATTGAGAGGAGTATGGATTACTCCAGCCTCGCTTTGGATATATTCCTAGATATCGAAGGTCTATAGCCGCTGCAATGTGAAACTGGAATTTATCCATTTCACTCTCGATCGCACAGGTGTTACCTCAACTGTTATTGAGTGGATTGATGAAATACTTGGTAACCGAATCATCACTTCATAATCCTGCTTATGTTCCACCATATCAAGATAAAAGATGTTAAATGTTAACTAAACCATATCCGATATCATGTTGGGTACTTTTGTAATTTTGTGAAACTGGACTTAAGTCAATGATCTTGGGGTCAACCAGAAACGTAAAATTTCAAATTTCCCTCTACCTATCTTGAATAAGGTGGCTTCAAAGTTCTCATTGCTAACTATAAATTTAATAAAAATGGTGCATGATTGTTAAGTTGTTCTGCATGACTTACGCCGAGTCATTAGTCTTTGATCTGGTCTGTCATACCACCTATTAATTATTTTATATATGCTGTCACAGGAATTAAGATGGTTTGGGGAACCCTGGGCACAACCTCAAACTATGTAGATCTACTTCATTGTGATCACATACTGTATGGATCATCAAAAGACCTGATTCTGCGTGACCTGTTGTGAGTGAACTATTGTCGTCAATGAGAGCTTGAGAAAGAGAAGGAAACTATCGAATTTCTCTTATATAGGTGTTAAATGCTAAGAAACAGTAGACTCTTTGGAAGATACGAGAAGGATACTCAAAACTTCTACTCCGGTAATTTGTAACTTTGACAAAAATCTATCCTGGATAAGCTATAACCTTTAATTTATATCCTATATAGCCTTAATTTTTTCTGTTATATCCCCTCTTTTCAGGTACTCAAGATAAGCACCATGGATCAAAGTTCTCCGAGATAAAGAACCACTAAATAATGTAGTAGCTGTACATCTAATCTGATAGCTTCTTAAGCAAGGCCGCCACAACCAATTTTACTAATCCGATCCAAGTTTCAGAAAATACTATAATGTTATAATCAAAACCTAGGCTATCACTATATAAACGAATTAACTTTGCATTTAACCCTCTTACATTCTGATAACAAATAGTAAGGAAATTATTTAGTTTTTTGGTTAACGAGGCAATTATTAAATATGACCAAACACTATGGACTTGGCAATAAAGAAATAAGCTTGAAAAGTAGTGCAAAGACTATAAATAATAGGCAATAATAATAAAGAAATTTAGAAAAACTTTTATCTATAAGAGTAAATATTAAAACTACATAAAATATTTTAATACAAGAAAAATTCAAATTCCACATTACCTCAACAAATCAAATCCACAAACGGTCTGTTTAAAAGCTAAGCAAACTTTACGTGATATTAGCTTCTCCGCATGATTCAGTATGACGGGATAGCGAATCTCCTTGCCTTCGCTGTCACGTTCCACTTTACCGTCCAACGCTGGACTTTTACGTGCCTCAGCATGGGCATAGTCGGGACCCACTGTGTAGACCTTAACATCCGTACCTGGAAAATATACTACGTTTTAAAAGTAATACCGGGTTGTTATATAAAATCTCAATTATTTTTTCTTAAGATTTTGTTTTTGTGATCTTTGGTTTCGGTTAACTAGTAAAGGATAGTAGTTGTGGTGGTGGTTGTTGGTATTGTGGATGGTGTTCAAAAACAAAAACAAAAATTGGAAAAATTAAAGTTTATTTTTTGGGAATTGAAGGATGTTGTATTTCTTATTATTGCAATAATAAAAAAGAAAAAAATATATACTCAAAAATATTGCAATTTTCTTTTGTTCTTCTTCTTTTTTTTCATTACGAACATCAAAATAACGAGAATAACGACAACAACAATAGCAATATAGGATGGTTGGTGTACAAACTGGTTTTGCGCAACTTATGTTTTTTTTTCGATTAACGTTCAGGCAGGACATTGTTTATATCGCAAATGATTTCAATTATACGTTTCGATAGACTGTGAAAGAATGAGTTTTTTATTTTTTGAGGGGGGAGAGAGAGTTGAGTTTCGTATTTTATTAATTTATTTATTTGGTGTATTCAGCCGCTGATATGGAAAAAATAATTTTGATTTTATTTTATTGTGATTATTAATCGATTAATGTTAAATTAGATATACATATTTTGTAAAATGTAGTTCTATAAAAAAAAACAAAAACTAATAATATATTTAAAAGAATAGGCAATTATATTAATAAGCCAAACATGTTGGAGAACAAATTAATGACATGCAAATTATTAATAAAATAATCGTTTAATAAACAGAAGAACATAAATTACTTAAAAATAGAAATATAAGGAAAAAAGCAGTGAAGAATCAAAATTTGAAATGCTGGTATGATTTTAAAATGATACATGAAAATCTGATAATTATTATCTGTCCTCTTAAAGTTGTATTTACGAATAATATAAACCCTTCGTATTTATGTTCTCATATATTATTTAAAAATATCAATTGATATTAGGAATGGACACTTGGACTATAATGTAAACAAGTCATAAATTTTTTGTGATTTTCGAAATATGTAGTATTAACATCGGAGCTGGTTTTGTTAAATTGTTCTAATATACGAGAGACTTTATATCCCGATACATCAGCTCCAAATTCTCTTGTGCCGAGTTCCGTAGAAACTAACCCCAAACTCGTTTGCATTATCCGCAGCTGCTCTGGACTGATCCGACTTAAGATCTATTGCGACAGGTGTTATACTGAGTTAAATCCCAGGGAGCTTTCAATATTTCCATCCGCAGAATGTAAAATACCTTCTGTTGCTGTACAATACATCGAAAATCGGTCTAATTAATGTCAGACCGGATATTCGATGACAAACCGTAATTTTTCATGTTGTAGACCACCTACAGTTGCCATTGTTCAATTATTTGCTAGGTCCCATTACATCGTATATGTCCATAGATTTTTCCGGACTTCATAACCTTTAAATGAATTCTTTTCCTCAATGTTACCTCATCGGACCTTCAGATCCGCAACCGCTCGCAATATGACTGGTGTCCTTTGCGGGAACCTAGCCACATTTTTCCATTAACAGACTAACCGATGGAATCTATCCATTCTGCTCTTGAAAGCACAGGTGTTCCCTCGACCTAATTGAGTTTATTGATAAAATAATCGTTGGGAAGCTGAATTATCAAGTCATACGTTGTAGAGAGTTCCGTAAGGAAAACACGTCTCAAGGAGGGGTACTCTCTGTCCAATTGTGGTTCCTGGAGATACATGAGATCCTGGTGAAGTTCGACCATCTCATAAGAAAGGCTGTATCTTATGCTGATGATGAAGTTTTGCAGCCACAGGACATTTTTGCAAAATGTCTAGCCACAGAAGAAGTACGCAGAGGCCCAAAAATAAAAGCGTGGAGAACCTGTCACTCTGTACATTCCCGCGTCGAAGTAGATATCCTGATATTCTGGGAACCATTTTAGTGACTATATAGCAATCTACCTCAACTTTGAGAATTTCAACATAATTATTTAGAGAAGAGAATTCCAAAAAGTGGCCAAAAATCTTTCCTACCTAAGCTATAACATATAAATTCATTTACTCTATTTTTTAATGTAATTAGGGAGAACACTTTTGAACAAAGGGTTTACAATTATCCCTTATGTGCTATTCTATCTTATCAGAAACTCAGTATGAGCCTATAGGACAAAAGTATCCATGTGAAACGATGGCTAAACAACTGGCTGTTGTACATATTGTAACATAACATAATCTATGGACACATATTGACATATATAGTCACCAGCACTATTTATTTATATTAAGTCCTTTAAATTAAGTTAATTATATTAAGTCCTTTAAATTAATAAAGCCGAGAGACGCATGTCCAGGATTCACTGTTTGAAATATACTTATACTGTAAGAGTTATCGTACATACCTTTAACCTGTTCGAAAAGGTTGATGCATAATAAGGTAAAGATGGCTTTAAATAGGTAAGATGTTTTCCTATCTATGATATCATGTGGCTGGGCAATAGGTTTATAGATGAGAAACATGAACAATATTGTTAAAATGGCAATGTAGTTGGAGTTGATACAATGGTAAAAAAGCGATGTGTTTTTTTGAAATGGAAATTGTTACCTACAAAAGCTCTATTAGAACGAACATTTCTACAATTGTTTTTTAGTTAAAGAAAACAACAACATTAGTCAACAAGATTCTTATTCATAATTATTAACACTTCTGTAATTACAGAAATTTCAAGAAGCATTTAAAAAAAATACTCGAGAGAAAAAAAATTAACTTCACAACAAAAATATTCAACCAAAAATCACAAGCAAATTGAGTTTTATAAAAAAAATTGAGGCTTCATTTAAATAAAAATTAATAAAAATTGGAAAAGCAACATTCAAGAGAAAAAAGAGAACACAAAAATAAAACTTGGAAAAAATATTGCCATTATAAAGTATATTGAAAAAATAGAAGTTTTTTAATCAGTTTTTAAGAAACAAAGTCTGGCGATTTGTTTTGTTTTTCTTAAAAACAACACAAAAAAAGAGAAAAATAATAATCATAAAATAACATTATGACAAAAACAAAGGTAAAAAACAATTAATACGTACCATCGGTAGGCATAAAATCTTCGTAAATAAATGAACCAGTTTTGCGAACACGCGACTCTGGAGAATAAACACTGCTACGGCTACCGATCTAGAAGAAAATAATGTACGTGCATGTTTTATAGGTTCAAAATAATTTCGGATTATTGCTACAAACCTTGCGGAATAAACGTTGACTACCGCCACCGGCAGATGTTGGATAATAAATGTAAATGTTATGATCCTCCGCCGAAACGGGCTTCTCAACAAATGGTTTATTGAATATAATACCATTAACTTCAACATGATCCTCGGATTCGATTAGTTCATGTTCTAAAAATACACAAAAGGGAATAATTTGGTTAGGTTACTCGTACACAGATATAATGTAAAAAAAACGTTTTAAAATAGTTCGTTAAAAATAAACAAATAAATTGATAAGCTATACAAGAACCTGTGGAAAATAGTATTATTCCTCGTTATTCCAGCTCGGAAACACTATTTATTACGGGAAAATCTTCGTTAGATATAACCCTATAATATATTTATAGATAATAGCCGGCCATAGAATGCTCTTACGAAATGGTCCTAAAATATATTCTTAGGCAAATCCACCCTTTGGTTGACCCTCTCTCTTGAAAAAATATTCGTAGATAAATCCAGACCTTCTTTGCCATTGCAATTTTATCAGATAATTCAAGGACGTGATTGACCCAAAAAATATATTTAATAAATCTATATATTTAATAAAATATTTTCAGAAAAAAACAGGACTTGTTTACCGTTTGAAGAAAATATATGCTTAGATATATCCAGACCTTGGTTGATCCTACCAAATATGCTTGAATAAATCCACTTCCTGATTGCCCTTGAAAAAAATCTACTCAGATAAATCCAGGCCTTGGTTTCCCTAACAAAATTGGTTCCCCTTGAAAATATTCATAGATAGATCCTCGCCATAGTTGAATTTAAACCAGTAAGGAAAGTAGTAAAGTCGGACTGGGCCGGCTTTATGATACCCTTCACCACTTTGGGTATATATGGTACATATGTATCTTTATAAATGCATGTCAATTTCATTCGGGCAGATTTAAAGTCGTCTGCGTACCATGGGACATATTTATAACAAAATTGATACACGCCGCACTGTTAAGAATTCAATTTCAATCAGACACCCGTTCGAAATACATATGGAAGCTGCATCTGCACTAATTTCAACAAACCGCAAAAACTTCAATCAAATCTCATTTTGATACGTTGTGCAAAATTTCGTGTTAATCGGACAAACATTAGTGAGTTTGGAGGAGCTATATCGAAATCTGAACCGAATTTTCCGAAACTTACTACACATCATACTAGACTCAATTCAGTAAGCTATGCCACTTTGGCACACTATTTACTTAAAATAAAAAATAATAAAATATGTATGGCACCTATATCTAAATCAGAACCGATTTTCACGAAACTTAACATGCATCATTCTAGACTTTATTAATTACGCTATACAAAATTTCGTGCAAATCGAAAGATATGTAGGGACTTTTGTACACCATTTACATTAAATCGGACGTAAATATATATGGGAGTTATATCTAAATCTCAACCGATTTTCACGTTCACATTCACCTAATTCAGTACCCTATGATATATAGGGACTTTGGTGCACCATATAACTTAAATTGGACGAAAATATATATGGGAGTTAATTATAAAACTGACCCGATTTTCTCTAAACTTAGCACACATCATTCTAGACTCAATTCAGTACACTATGGAAAAGTTCGAGCAAATCGAAAGATATATAGGAAGTTTGGTGCAGCATTTCCATAAAATCGGGCGAAAATATATATGGGAGCTATATCTAAATTTGAACCGATTTTCAGAAAACTTTACACACATCATTCTAGACAGAATTAAGTACGCTTTGCCAAATTTCGTGCAAACCCAAGAATATATAGGGACTTTGGTGCACCATTTACATTAAATCGAACGAAAATATATATGGGAGCTATATCTAAATCGAAAGATATATAGCGACATTGGTGCACCATTTACATTAAATCGGACGAAAATATATATGGGAGCTATATCTAAATCTGAACCAATTTTCCCAATTTCAATAGGGTTTGTCCTTGGGCCAAATAAGTGACCTATGCCAAATTTCATCCAATTCGGATAACAAATGCGGCCTGTACTTTGTTTACAATGGAGAGACAGTTAGATGGACGGACATTCATAAATCGACTTAGAAAGTGATTATATGCATATTCTCAAAAGGAACCATGGATCTATCTCGTTTGCCTGTTACAAACATATACACAAAGACATAATACCCTGTAATAATACCCTGAATAAAAATCATGCATCTGATTAACCTTTGAAATATTTTGTTATCAAATACGCCCCAGTATAATGTTGAACAAATTTAGTACTATTATTTTACTTACGTTTTGGATCTGGCGAATCACGATCTAATACCGCATAACGTGGTATTTCAATTCCTTCCTTTTCCAATATAGCATAGACCCGGCGACGATCTTGTATATCATACTGCATATGAAGATTATTTAGAACATATGGTTTACGCAATTGAGCGTACTGTATGGCCTTCTCCAGGGGAAAACCTTTAGAATGAAATGAAACTAGGCAATCACAGATGGGCCAATTTTCGACAGGTTCCTACAAAAATAAACAAAACAAAAAAATCAATGTAGATTATGATTTCTTTATGAAATTTGAATAGACTTACCTTCAAAATAACATCCTCTTCGAATATGACCATTTTAATGAATTCAAATTCTTGTAAACGTGTCAAAATCTCTTTCATTGGTTTCGATTGGGTCTTTTTGGCCATGGCGCATATGCCCACAACCACTTGTTTACCGGTATTCGAGGATGTACTGGCATCGGAATCCATGCCGTCATTACTTTCACAGAAATCGGTGTCGCCCTAGAAGCAATATAGATGAATTATGCATTACTCTTTTGGTTTGATGAATATACGTGCTTTTAACGAAAATTTAGCATTCGAAATAAAATAATAGAAACAAAATTTCAATTTGTTTTCTGGTTGTCGTTGTCAGTTTTTTTATAGAGACATTACGGGCAAGGTAAATGTCTGGTGCAATAGGGTAATTTTATTATATGTGTATAAGAACACATTACTTATTATATAGCTTTATAAAATAATAATAAAACATTCACGCTTATAATGTGCCTTGAAAAAAATATATAAAAATATCCACGCATTGATCGATCCTTAAAAATATATTCTTAAAAAAATATACTTTAATAATTGGCGTTGAAAAACAATATATTAATCTTTTACTTATAATATTATTATTATCCATGCTTTAATAAACCTTAGGGTGTACATATTATGGTTATAATTTTTGAGATCCTCGTATCCTTGCAAGTAAGAACAGGGGAATTGTGAAGATAGAGAGGGTGTAATAACTAAAGCAGCAAAGCTATCTGATAAACAGTTGGTGTATTTTGCTATGCTGTATTTCATATGTACATAGGAGATATGCGATCGTTTTTAAATATTCCTTATCTTCACATAGACGCCAATAGTCCATTCCATTGACATCTCAATTAGAGGTGAGAGGCCAGATTCGGCAGTGTCCAGTTATAATATCTACTGTGCTTGAGGGCACATTTCTTTAAGTCTAATTGTTGTTGATTGGAGCTTAACCAAAAGGTCCAGTGGCTGTAGATTATGGATCACGTTCAAAATAATTTGAGGTGTTCTTTTGTCGGACGAAGTTATATTTTAGATAAACGATGCACCAAACTCCTAATGTTTGTCCGATTGAGACGAAATTCTCCACAGCGTACTGAGTTAAGACCAGATTGATGTTTGCTAACTTGTGTTGAAATCGGTTTAGATTTAGATATTTTTTTAATCCAGGGTTAGAAAGGACCCTGAAAAATATTCCTTATAAAATGAGTACTTGTAATAGACTTTAAAAATATATATTTAAAAAAATCCACGTTAAAGAAATACTCTTTGAATAATGCAATGGGACTTAAAAAATATTGCATAAAATAATATTTTTGAAAAAACCCACCTTTAAAAAATTAAATATCTAAGCTTATTACAAAAAAATCCAAGCTTATAATGGAAATTAAAAAATATTCTTAAACAAATTCTTATTTGTTTTTGAAAAAATATTCTTTAAAAAATCCACAGTTCGGAGGACATATAGAAGTTTTGCTATATACTACTGAAGCATTAAATTGTTTTGCCATCCAAATTCGCTTATCTCAAAATAAATATTTGCCAAACAATTTGATAAAGCTTTGTAAAAAAAATGGGGAGAATCGCTGACCCTGTTCCCTAAATACGCAAACAAAGATAGTGGTGATGTTCCGACTATATAATTTATGAACAAAACAATTGTAAATGCAAATAGTCCATGATATACCTGGCAAAATGGGTGGTGGGCAGATAAATGATGCACACATTGTGCATACACAAAATATTTTAAATGACCAATTAACCCTTTCAGTGTTTTTGTCAAATATATTCGACATTTAAAAATTCTCTCTTTCTTTGCGATTTTTCGGTTATCCTATGTACCGTTAACATTGATGTTTTTTGTTTTTGCTGAAAAACAGACGAAACTGTCCGAGGGTTAAAATGAAAATTGTTTTTTTTTCTAAACTCTATGCCTTTATATGATTTTAAGTACAAAATTTTAGATTTTTATTCCAACAAAATTTTTTTTTGACACTGAAAGGGTTAAGAATCTATGAATATTTTTTGGCGGTAAATATCATAGAGAATACGTAACGAACAATAAGCGGAAACAAAGTTTCTAATAACCAAACGAACAACAAATGTCAATATTTAGAAAAATATTTAAATAGTTCGTGACGACAATGCCACTTTTAGTGGCTGCAATGATAACAAAATAATAAAATAAGACGAAAACAATAATCAAAATAAAACACAAAATAAAAGAAAAACCATAACAAAAGTGTACGAGAAACCTACATTCAAACATTCATCACAATAGCAAAAGTCATCGACTTCATCATCATCTTCCTCATCATCATTGTCATAGTAGTAGTCATCGTCGTAGCCGTCCTCAAATTCAACATTGCGTTCAACGTCATCATCATCATCACCATCAACGTTTGCATTTGCATAATAATTATCTTGTTTGGCTATGCCTTCTTCCGCCACGCCGGCGGATTCATTTTTAATATCGTCATTGTTATTGGCATTTTCTTTGTTAATCGCTGACCCCCTTCTTGGTGCACTTTGACAACCACGACTACGACGTCGTCGTTGTCTTTTAGTTCTTCGCATTTTACATTTTATATTATTGGGATCAATTTCCACAGTGTCATCATCAGTCAAGCGGCGGCGGTGATGATGACCTTCATCACCATTCGGATTGGATGCATTGTCATTTTCATTGCAATTTTCCCCCGATGTAGGCGTTGTGGGATGTTCACCCATCAAATGGGCATGTTTTAATTTACGGCGTCTTTGCTGGGAACGATATTTTTTTAAGCGCCACCAATCTTTAAGCCATGTCCATTCCATGGCTAATAAAAATATTCAAATTTCTCACACACAAACACAATTAAAAAATAAAAGTTTTCGTTATGATTTCCAAATCTTTATGGCCGTTAAAAATACATTCGTCTTTTTTCCCGAAACAAAAGAAAAAAACGCGCCAACCACAATTACGACTGTCATACACAAGTGCGCCCAATCAACTGACTAACTCTTGGGTGCAATAATGCTCATTTCCCATGAGCAAGAGTCGTCTCATTATTTTAAAAGAATAATAATACTTTCTTATTGTTGTTCTTCTTGTGTATTTAAAACAATAATTTAAATTTATTGTTGTTGTTTCAGTTTCTCAACTGCAAAAGAGAAGATAAAAACGAATTCAATTCCGCCAATACTATTCTCCGAATACCTACATTTCAACTGGTATACTACTACGACTATACGTTATTGTTGTTGTTCTACATTGTTGTCACTTAACTATATTTGCTATCACCTATGAAGGATGGGATGGTGTTTTGGAGGGCCAACGTCAGGAGTAGACTTTTGTTGTCATTAACGGGCTTATCATGGCTGTCAGCTGCTGCTCACTTATATTGATGGCATTTATCTTCGAAATTAGTTATCACCGTTTTGTGCGATTCCCTCTCCTCTGACGTCATAAATTGAATTGGAAATACAAAAAATAACAATTGTGGTCAAATGTATTTCAAATCGTATTTGGCTAGATTTCGTTTAATAACAATTAATGAAAACAAATAGATTCGACTTGCGTACTTGCGTTAAGAAGCTTGTAGGTCTGTTAGGTTATAAACTTTTGAAACAGGTATTCCAATTAGTACCCAAAATATCAGAAAAATACTTCCAACCGGCTGAAAAAAAGTTTGAGGTATGGGAAAGCAGTATATAGAATATAAAAAATATCAATCAAAACATGGACTTACATGTCCGCTAGTAGATTTGGATCCTTTGAGAAGCTAAAAGGCCAAATTACAAAAATGTCAGAAATCCGGCTAGAGCCATTAAAATTCCAAATTCCAACTCAAAGAAAAAATCCAACATTTATAAGAAAAAATCTGCCTGTATGATCTTATTCTTCGAAAAACCAAAATTGTAAATTTCTAAATTCCTGCATGTAGAAATGCTATCCTCTAAGAACACAAAATACAATAGTACATACACTTTGATTGGAAAATTATACTAGAATCTTAAAAATATTTTAAATTGCTCCAGACCTTACATGGGGAACTATGCCAAATCATCCATCAACTTGAAATTAAGGTCACTTCGGATGATCATGTGGCCGTCATTTCAGGTGTGTTTTGAAATATCAAAAATCGGCCAGTCGAAATCTGCGTATATTTGGGGGGAAGAACCTAATTTACAGCAACTAGTAAATTAGGTTCTTCAAGAACGCGTACTAATATATCCTCTTCTCAATGCCAACGAAGATATAGTAAAAATTATTTAAATTTTATGGTGACGAGAAGCTGGTAAGTTACTTGTGATGGAGTGTTTTCCTGGCTGACAGAGCAATATTCATTGACTATTATAATAATAGGACGTACACTGCTGATGAAAAATTTAAACTTACGATTCTGCCTCGGTTACATCAAAAGGTAAAAGTACAATAATATTATATTTATGTTGTTTTTTCTTACTAGTGGTAGAGGGGGATCGACGAGAGGAGCGGGAGGAGTAGAAAGATAACATTATAGCATAGCCAGGCTGTCCCGTATCCGTCAAATAACTGAATCTCTTGCATATTCAGCATAGCATGTTCATAGTAGTTCGACCGTTTCCAACTCTTCCTCATCTAATAGTAGGTCTAATAGACTCGTCTATCTGCAGATCGGACGAATGTGACCCTTGAACAAGATCATCAGTATTTCATTATCGTTAAATATTTCTGCTGTATATTTCTGTTGATGAATCATCCATTATATCGATTGGAAGCTCATCAGCCGAATATTCAGGATGGGTATTTCGTACCACATTTGATAATTTTCCTAGATGCCGATGCCAATGGTATTCATGGCATCATTCTAGTCCCCCTAGAAAAAATCATCCGAGAGAAAAGCCAGATTTTCATCCGTGCTAAGACGCAAAGACTCATTTTCCTCCTTTAAATTGAGGAGAAAGTCAGTCTGTCTCTCCAAGCTCTCATGCATGTCCTTAAGCCTGATGGGAATGGAATTAAAAAAACAGTAAGGAAAGTTCAAAAGTCGGACGGGGTCCATTTAAATAAAATCGGACGAAACTATATATGGGAGCTATATCTAAATCTGGACCGATTCCAGCGAAATATTGGCAAAAATTATATAACCTATTTCAACAACATTTCGGGGACGTCAACCTGCAGTAGTTTCAATACGTACGTCAGCCTGTAGTAACTTCAATACGTTATGCAGTATTTTGTC